CATGAAAGCTGCTTTAGAAATGCTGATCGCAGACACATTTCAGGAATGTTTTGATTCTGTTTTTGAACAGTTCTCCCACTGAATCCCTTCCTCTTCTTCTGCAGGACGTGGCAAACCGCGGCCTGAAGGCCAGCCAGTGGGTTCAGGAATTGTGCCCTCTGCTGGACGGAAAAGGCGGCGGTAAAGACATGTCAGCACAGGCGACGGGCAGAAACACGCAGTGCCTGCAGGAGGCGCTACAGATGGCTAACGAGTTTGCTCGACTCAAACTGGGAGAAAACTGAAGGGAAATACTCCATCTCTGTTTTCCTCGTTTTTTCTTCCCCGTGTAGGTCAGACAGAAAACTAAACCACCAGATGACCAGCAGAAAATGAGCCACTCGTATTTATTGAGTCTGGATGGAGCTTGAATATTGAAGCGTCTTCTCATGCACTTTTACCTGGAAGGGGATGCGTTCGCTACTTAATTGCATGTTTAAGTGAGAAGGGAAAAGAAATGCTAGCGTTAGCATCTTGCTAGCTCCATGCAGCTGAGGGAAAATAAGTAAAATTACTTCAGCTCCTGATAATCCGCCCGTTCTAATACTTCCTCCTTTTGAGTCTTTACACCATCTGGGTTTATTCTGTGTATCTTCTGAAGCTTAATCTGATCCAAACCAGGTAGAAACTGGTTTAACATTTAAAAAAAAACCATAATTTTTTATGATTTTGCTGTAAAATGATTACTGATGTCTGTGTAAAATGATGTCTGTGTAAACTCCCCACTGACATTTAGTTTCTAATCATCGCTGCTGCTTCGTGTCGATAATGATGGAATAAATCTGCCTGGCGAAAGCGTCCGCTTCCTGTGCGATTCATTTCAGATCCGTTGATGTGAAGGTCGGCGAGCAAAACCAGAAACCGTTTGAACTTTAATAAGATGGACGGCAGTTAATGAGCCGCCAGCCTCTCCTGATGCAGATCGATGTTATTAAACCAACATCAAATGATGGCGACTCGCTTCCTTCATCACTTCATTAGGTCCTTATTTCCTTCTGTCCTTTTTCCTCCCTTGTTTTCTTCAATTCTTTTAATTTCTTCCTTGGTCCTTCCTTCATTATCTTTTTCTTCCCTTGTGTCCTTCCTTCCTTGTTTTAATTCCTTCCTTGTGTCCTTTAATTCTTTCCTTCCTTATACTAGTTCTCTTTTCTCCTTCCTTCTTTTCCTTTCTTCCTTGTGTCCTTTCATTTCATTCTTTGTTGTGCCCATCCATTGTCTTTTTTGTGTCCTACTTCCTTCCTTTGTCCTCCATTCTTTGTTTTTCCTCATTTTAAACTTAAAACCTGCTCATTGTTTACATATCGGGCATACATTTTTGGTTTTAATATTTTATAATCTAAAATATTAATTCCCAGACGCTTCGTTTGTTTCATGTAGTTTTTATTTTCACAACAGCAGAAAAAACAAAACGGAGTCACGGGTTACAGATGTTCCAGTGGTTAATACATGAGTGCTGATGCTTCCAACATGTGAAAGGATCGGACCGGGCCTGGTTTCTACGGTCAACAGAATAAAACCGCTCTGCAATAAAAACTTTTACTGCAGCTACTGAAACGTTTCCAGTCGTTTTTACCAAAGATTCCCAAACATTTGCTTCTGTCGGCTGACGCTGCAAAATATGTAAAGAAAAATCTCATTTTATGTTTTTTATTCACTTTTCATTAATTACATTAGTTTTTTGTTTTTTTTCAAATTTTTGAGTTTTGAAACCCAGAAAAAAAATTCTAAAAGAAAAAAAGAAAAATCTGAAAATGTCAAATTTTTCAGCAAGTTTTTTGACTTTTCAATTTCAAATGTCCTTGTTTCTCTTTTTTTCAAGGAAATGTCTGAGATTAACCTGAAAATTTCTGAATTTTGGCAGAAATTTACTTTTTATATATTTCTAAAATAGCCCCAATACAGTCAGTTTGATATTTTGACAAATTAATTTTTTTTTAAATCTCATCGTTGCTCTGACTGAGCAGGTTCTTCCACGCCGCTCTTCTTATCCAGTCTTAGTATGAATATTAATGACCTCAGTGGGATTTTTTTTCAGGTCAGGAAAATGGAAATTTCCGACTCCGAGGCGATCCGTGACATCCCCTTCGGAACGTAATGTGCCAGACGAAGCAGAGTAAAAATAACCCTGAACATATCAGTACCAAGTTTCACTGACGCCGAGGACAAAGAGGATTTTCAAAAACAAATCAGTCCAGTTCAAGTTTAAATAAAGTCGGCCCAAACTGCAGGAAGTGGCACAGCTTTTAGTCACCGCTGTGGTTCTGTGCAGCTAGAAGAATCTCTTCTGCAGGGAGAAATGTGGGTCGACACAGACAGCAGGAGGGAAGACCTACTTTGGGTCGTCTGCGTGGAAGAATCAGATCTGTGTCATGTTCTGTCGGTGGGAGGGAGGAACCTGATCTGGACTGAAGGGACCCTGCTGCTCTCCTCCCCCCTCTGATCACATCCTGGGCTGCAGCTGATGAGGAGCTGAAGATGGTTCCTTAGAGAAACGAGTCCTGTTGTTCAAAGTCTGCATGGAGGTCATGAATAATTAACACTTTCATTATGAAGCTGAATGAGAGCCAACATCTGAATGAGAGTTCAGATGTTTCCATTTTAATCTAAAGTCCCTGCTGATGAACAGACATGTTAGGGCTGTTATAGATGGAAAAAAGGAGTAAAACTCACAAATTTTCAGATTAATCTCAGAAAAGTTCTAGAAAAAATTTTAAAATTTCTGAGCTCCAAAATTAAAAAAAGTTGAAAGAAAAAAACTGAAATTTTGACACCAATCTCAGAAATTCTCTAGAAAAAAAAGCCAAAACTTCTGATCTCCAAAAGTTGAAAGTTTTAAAGTGAAAAACTCAAATTTTATCACTAATGTCAAATTTTCAGGAAAAAATGTGAGCTCCAAAATATTAAAATTTCAAGACAAAACTGTGAAATTTGGAGATTAATTTGAGGAATTTTCTAGAAGAAAAACCCCTGAAATTTTAGTTTCAAACGTTTAAAATTTGCAAGAGAAAGCTAAAATTTTGCAATCAGAAATTTATTAGAAAAAGCTTGGAAGTTTTGAAAATTTTTAAATATTGAAAGTCAGAATATTTCCAAATGTCAAAATCTTTTACTTTTAGCTTAAAAGAATTCTACAAAATTTGAGATTAATCTAAAATTTTTCATTTTCACGCAAATGTTTTACTTAAAACAGAAATTTGAGGTTTCTTAAAATTATTTTAGGTTTTGACTTCAAGCTCAAAATTCCATGTTTTTTGCCATAACATTTGAGATTTATAAAAAAAAAAATCACATTTTTGGGGGGGTGATTTACTCTTTTTTTCTATCTACAATGGTTTTAATTTTACATGTCATAGAAATCAGACCATCTCAGTTGCAGTATCTTAATATACTGCAACATGTCAAAAAACACACACATTAGAGTCCATTTTAAAAATCCTGATTCAACCCTTGATTTCCTTTCATTCTTCCGAAATCAGTTCTGATCAATAATTTTCCAGACTTTTTGAAGGTTTTTCAATGTTTTTCTTGCAGGTTTTAGCTGCTTTTTGCTGTTTCAGTTCAGTCATTGTAGCTAATCACAATTCAATAATACAGTGAACTTATAGCAAAGGTAAATTTAGAAAACCTTGGCTAAGCACTTTGCTGGTGTAAGCGTAGCTTGGCAAAAGGTAGGCCAAGCTAAAACTAACTAATAAAACATAATTGGGCAAAACAAGCTAAGCTAGCAAAGACAGCATAGGTAGGCTACACTAATCTAAATTCAGCCAAAATATGGTGGAGTATGCTTAAATTAGCTCTTATTAGTGAATATTAGTTGGGCTAAAACAAGCTAACCAATGCTACGCTATTTAGACATGGGGCACAGCACAGGAGGGTTGAGCAAAACTAAGCTAACCTAAGCTAAAGCAATATAATTGTGCTTTTATTTATAAACAAGTAAAATAAGAGCGACATAACTAGAATTGATGTTGCTGTTAATTTTTCAGACTTTGCTAAACTTCTTTCACCTATTTCCAGTCTGTTTCAAAGCGTTAACTATGGTTAAAGCTTTTGGAAATCAGCTCGTTTGTGTTTCCATATTAATTAGAAAATTTTGGTTAGATTTAGCAGAAGATGCTGCTGGTAACAAAGAGCCTAAAGATCCGATTTAAAACTGTTTTTATGCTAACTTATCTGTTAAAGACGACACTGGTTCATTCCTTGAGTTTGGACGTTTTTTCTTTTGCCTGAATGTTTCAAACTTTTTTAAAATTCTGGACATTTTAATACTTTAAAAAAAAAAAGTCTGGCAACCTGGAAGGAAAAATCAAAGACCGAATCAGGAGTTTTGTACTGACCGCGATATGAGTTCACATCGTCTCCATTAGCAACAGCGAGAGAGTAGAAGGCAGAGTGTGACGTCATGTGGTGCGTTCGCGGGTAATCGTTCAGCTCAGAAGGCTCAGCTCTCAGCTAGACGTGTGTATGTGAGCGAGACTAACAACAACAGAAAGGTGGCAGGTGTGCGTCGCTGATGAAGCGGCTGCGGGCGGCAGACTTCCAGCAGCCGAACAAGGCACGAAAGCAAGTGACAAGACGCAGGAAACACAAACAATATGATGAGATTGAGCTGTTAACATCAGTCCAGCTCAGCAATGAAGCCTCTAAGAAAACCTGGTGCGGAGGAAAAAACACCAGCAGGACGTTGAGTTACAGCAAAACACAACATAACAACAACAACACGGCCGCTTTCATCTGTCCGTGTGAGCTCACCTTAAAGGACCTGCACAACGCAGGAAACACAGAGCAAAAACATGATATTACAAAGTTGAATCCCTCATCTCAGTCACACAAACAGAAATTTGATGTTTTGGGAAGTGAAAGCCACACTGTTCCTTTTCCTTTCTTTATCTAAAACTTTACAGATTTCCTTTTTCCCCACAGATTTTTGGATCAAAGATATGAGTCAATACAAAAAGCAGTTTTTCAAATGATAATTTCATTTATTAAAGAGAAAAAAACATCTATCCAGGCCCAACTTTGATAGATATCAGTAGAATAAAGAAAAAAAAAAATGAAAGTAGAATCATTCTGCACTGCAAAAACACAAAATCCTACCAAGTAATTTTGGTCTAGTTTCAAGTGTAAATATTCATCAAAAGTATTGATGAAATAGTGCGAGTTCAACTGGCAGATTATTTCACTTTTAACATGACATTTTCCTCATGTCATAAGTGAAATAATCTTTTTCATCAATATGAAGGAATTACTGACTTAAAACAAGCTGTTATATCTTGCTGAAAAGTTACTAATACGTTGGTATTATTGTCTGATTTCAAGTGTGCTGAGATATTCCACAGCAGCCAAACCAAACATCTAATCCTAACTGAAAACGTTTTATCAAAATTGGCGCGTCTGCATTAAGCAAGCTTATTTATGTAATTTCAATTTACGCAATTACACGTTTAATAGAAACACAGCTAATGAAAGAGAAACCAGACAAAAACGGCATCCGTGAGAAACCTGTAAGGCCCAAACTACTGCTGACCAAACGCAGCACAAAGGCATATCTCACATTTACTAAATAACATATTTTATTACCATAGCAACATGCTTGAAAACCCTCCAATGTTTCTGAATTTAAAACCCAAGGTGCTCCGCAGCAAGGCAAAATCCCGAAGCTGTTGCCACAAACAGTCGGGTTCAGTTTACAACAGATAGTTTTAGAGATCTTTTCGTTAATAGATGAAAACATTATTTCAAAACTGCTTCTTGTATTTACTTTGGTCATATCAGTTGAAACTTGTCTGATTAAAAAACCTAAAGAAGCCTGTATAAAAACAAAACTTTATGTTTATGGTGGAATTTCAAAACGCATTCCTCTTTCTGACATTCCAACACCAACCTACTGATTTTGTTGTTTTCTTCATGATGATGGGTAACAAACACAACGGCCATGGCAGAAGTGGAAAGAAAATCCAGTCTGAGCGTAAATCTAACAGATCAAACAAACGTCGCCATCAGAGGTGAAGGCTAAGGCGCTGGCTGGCTCCGCCTCCTAAAGGGCCGGGCCGGGACTGGGTCGAGTGCTCAGTGAAGGCGACGGGTTTATTTAGGGTCATAATCTGGTCTGTAAGCAACATTTGAGCAAAGATCTTCCAAATGAAACCTTGATGGACCGGATCAGAACGCAGTCAAGATGGCCTCCTCTACCAGGGCCTCCAGGTGCTGAAATCCTGAACGTGTTTCTGTGAACAGAAGAGCCGGGGGGCTTCGTGAGGGAGAGTCGAATCCGATAAAGCCGATCTCATCGCTGTTTACCAATCCGCTTTGTGAAGACCTTACAGCTGTGTGGCGGTGCCGAGGATGTTTCACCTCAAAGAGAATTTAAGGCAAATCAAAAACACGATCTTGATTCTAAAGGACAGCTCTTTGTCAGCAAAATACTCCCACACGGCTGGAAAACAAAGTCACACGACGGCCTCTGAGATGCAGAATGGATGTGAAGGATAGTTCGTGTCAGGGTTTAATAATCCTTACTAATCTTTTTCTGATTGATCCTGCTGTTCCACCATGATTTCCTGTTTTCCTCAATAAAGGTGAAAGATTTTTACCTTCCAGACTCATTGGAGTCTCGACTCCCAAAGAGGAAAATGTTTTGCTCGTCGAACCCCGTCGGTAAAATCGTACTCTCTTCCAGTTTGCTTTTATTCCAACTTGGATCCAAACTGACATCCGTTTTTCTGATCAACGTTTTTCTGGTCATTTCCCAGTGAACACTGTGATTTTTCCAGCCTTGGCCAGCTGCTTGATGATCTGCGCTTCGAAGTCCGCATCGTGGACACCCGTCTTCCTGAACTCTCCGGAGTACCGGTTCTGCTCCCAGTAGTGGTGCCAGTTTCCTCGGCTGTCAGCGCCGAAGCCAAACACGTTCACCTGGAAGTGCAAGGTCAGGGTCAGGATGGAAAAATGTTGAACCTGGATGAATGCGGTGAGAAGTGAGGAAAAAAAGAACTGACCTCATCGCAGACGTGAAGAGCGAAAAACAGGACCAGCATGCCAGTGGAAGGGTATCGGCCGTGATGCCTGGTCCAGCGGTCATGGATGTATTTAAAGAAAGCCGGATTGAAGATCTGAACCTGAAATGTAAACAGTCCTGTTAGAAAATCCTGATCCAGTTCTCATTTCTGACCGTTTTGCTTCCTGTGACTTTAATCGTTTGAAACTTTCTTAAACCGCCGCAATATCTGCATGTTTCCAAAAGTCAAATGAAGACCTTTTTAATAACACTTTGAATTGAATTTATGACCGAAAAAATTAATACAGAGAATGACTGGGGATCCATTTGGACTTACCCATGATGGACGCAAAAAAAGCTAGCTAGCGAGCGAGCTAACTCAGATATTAGCCGTTAGTCAGCAACACAATGAAACTGTCTGTGAACAACTCAAACGTTTGGCTGACAGAAACGTCCCGCGATAAAAAAAAGGACACATGGGATTAAAAGAGGTGATTAAATCAGGTTGGACTTTCAATACCATTAAAAATGTTTATAAAAATATAGGCTAAAGTGCGCTAAAGCTGAAGGAGGCTAAACAAAGCTAAGCTAACTAAACACAAACAAATTTGAGATAAAGATCTAATGGATAAATGTGACACAATTAGAATAAAAGTTAAAGGATTAAAAGTAGGGTTGGGACGATTAATTACATTAACCATGATTAATCAATTACTGAAATAATTGTCAACTAATTTAGCTATCGATTAATCGTTAACAGGAGCACAGACTCAAAAGAGGCCAATTGTTCAAATATTCTGACCACTAATAAAGCAAAACTGTACAAAAATAGACATTTTGAATTTAAGATAATAAAAAATAAACATTTTCTACCCAGAACTCCAAAAGCAGCATAGTTTTAGTTTCACCTGGTTTGAATCCTGTAAAAAATAAAACCTCCTGGCTCTATGAATACTAATGCAAAAATTAGTTCACCCAAGTAATTTTCTATTACTGCATTTTAGGCAATAAAATGTTTATTTCCTTATTTACAAAAGAAGTTAAATTATTTCTTTACATATTTGTGTATTTCTAATAAGCTTATGTGGATAAATGAAAAAAGTTGCAGAATGTGTAATTTTTTTTTACCAGATTAATCATCTAAATAATTGATTGCTAATTTAACTGTTGGTTGCAGGAATAGATAAAAGGTGATTATAAAATATTCTGCTGCCTCCTGGTGATGCTGAGTCCCAACAGAAGGAGCTTTAGACTGCTCAGAGCTGCACAGTGCAGGAGTAAATCCTCAAATTCTTTATTTCTAGGTCACTCTCAAAGATGCTGCCAGTCTGACCGGGGCGAAGATGCCTCAGCTCCTCCACGCAAAGAGGAGTTTGTTTATTTATTTTACAGATTAAACTGCGAGCTGGAGATTAGTGACAACAAAGGCAGGGTTTGTAATCCCTCGTCGACAATGGGGAAGGGGGTTTATCGGTGGCGCAGGGTCACTTTGTCGAAATGGCCAGACGAACCTTGTCTTTATCCACACGGAGGAACTGCTTCACTGGAGCGTAAGTGCTGCAGAGAGAGAAACCACACAGAGAGATAAACTTTATTTGATTACTGGATGATTGACGGATCGCTAATCTCTCAGCCTCTTCGCATCCTCTCAGTGCAAACAGAACGTGTGTCTGTGTTTACTGCACCCCGACGGCTAATGGAGGCCGTATGAACTACATTCCTGTTTGTTTTATTAATCCAGGCTCATGCACATCTGTGATGCTTACAATCGGATCTGGCCGGTGGACAGAGCGCTGGTGATCCAGACCAGGTCCAGCGTTTTGAAGGGAACCAGGACAAAGCTGACGTTGGCCGCCAGGTTTTTGGCGCTCTCTGGGTACATGAAGTGGTGCGTGGTGCGTCTGCCGGCGTCGTCCTCGTAGCCCACAGTGGGGGCCAGATTTATCCTGAGGGAGAGAGAGGAAAAGAGGAGCATCAGGGGAGTTTCTCAAACCACCTTTGGCTTTAAAGGTGACCTTTGATGCTTCCTTGAACAGGTTAGGATGGATCTATTGGTTCCACAAAACATTTTCAATACATTATATGCACAAAATCATTCTTAGGTAATGAGACTTTGGCTGTTTTAGGGCCTCTTGTCACTTTAAATCCAAATAAGCTGCTGCTGGCCACACCCCCTCAACTCAGCCTTTACAATCACACGTGAAAATGGTTGCAAACAGATGCATAATTATACAACCGTACATCTTTGAAAGGCAGAAGTGGAGCCTCCTACACAACAAATAAGAATGCAGCAAGTAGTTTCTGAACAATAAGTCAACAGCAAAATACTTGTCTTTTCCAGTAGCCACCATGCAGCGCATACAGCAGTAAAACCAGCTGACCAAAGGTGCTAGAGCTCTGCTTGGGTTGCTAGGCAACGGCGAAACTCTGCTTGGGTTGCTAGGTAACGGCAGAACTCTGCTGGGGTTGCTGCAATACCTGCTGAATTGTGACGTTACATTTGAAACGGTTAATTTTCCATACACCAAAAAACATTAACTTAATGTTTTTGTCTGTTTTTTAAGAGCTTAGGCTGTTTTTAGAGGTAATTCAGACCAAAATTGAAGTAAAACATGAATTTTGCATATTAGATGGACTTAACCAGTTTCTAATGAAAAAAAAAAAACCTGACATGTTTGCAGTCATGTAAGCCCTCGAAAGATAAGCAGAACATAAAAACAAATTCTTCATGAGTCCCTTCATAGACATATTTTCAGCAGTAAAGCAAGGTCTACACAAAGAATGAAAAATAATAAAAACAAATAAGTAGTATACAAAAACCAGGAAACTATGTGTAAATATGCTGCAGTGTTCAACAGGATGCTTAGTGGAGTTAACGTGCACCTAAGCAAACCTAAGCTAAATTTGTTCTGCAAGATTCTGCTGAGAAAAACAGCAATAAGTCTGAGCTGTCTGATGTGTACAGCTACATCTGGCTGTGTTTTAAAGGTATTTATCATTGAAGACATCTTTCTGCACCTGCTACCACAAAACAATAAAACTGCTTGTCATGCAGAGTGTAAAAATAGAAGAAGAGATGCTTTACTGCCGTGCAAATATGTAATCACAGCTAAAAATCGAGAAGTGCAAAATTAACTAAAGCTCCTGCAGGCATCAGCAGGCTTTCACTCACAGTTGCACACACATTCATACTGGTTACAGGGAATATTAGTCTTATTTTCGATTACATTATGCTTAAGTAGCTGCGTTTCTACTACAAATGTGCGCAAATCTTTGTTTGTATTCAGCTAATGTCTAAAAACCAAAATTTGGGAATTGCGGTGTTTCCATTAAATCAGAAATAAAATTAAACTCGCACTTGAATAAGCTTGATCACGTAATGAGTCACTAAAAATCAAGGCAGCGACGGATGTAAACAGTTTAGGAGTTATATTCATAATTCAGCTATGGCGCTCGCGCTCATCATCTATCAGCCAATCAGAGGAGACGTCGGTGGCCGACAAGCCATTTGGTGAAATTGTAGTCTGCGATTTTACAGAACACATTGGAATTACACACAACTTGTTATGAACTCTGTGATGCTGCGAGAGTTCAGAACAAAAACAAATCATCGTCCTACCACTTCCTGTCGTCTTCTTTTATCGTTTCTGCCAGTAGTAACCATAACAACCTACCACTTCCTGTCGTCTTCTTTTATCGTTTCCGCCAGTAGTAACCATAACAACCGGCTGTTGATCATGTGACTCGTGTGACGCCTAAAGAGTGTTTCGATATGGCTGACAAACTACCTGCTGCAAAAACGTTTGATGGAAAAATGATGTGATGTGTGTTTACATCCAGATTTACTGCGATTTCTGCTCCTTCTGGTGCAGAATAATGACGCATGTCTCACGTCGATGACGTAAACATTGGATAAAATGCGACTCGACCATTCTGACAGCAGACCCCTTGAAAACAATCTGATATCTGATTTAGTCTCACATACATAGAAAAGAGAAAAAATTGAATATTTGGGGCTGAAAAGTCAGACTGATGTGAAAAAAAAAATCAGATTTGGGTTTTTAAATATACATTTGGTAATGCTTTAATAATTCTTGTCTAAGCAGTTTTTTTTTTATAGAACTGATGTCCCAAGACAGAATCTTTTAGATGCATTTTGTTTTATCATGTTCGATACATTTCAACATCCCACAGAAGGAAACATACCCATCTCCTTTTCTGCAAAGGTTTTATGATTTCTTTATGTTAAAATTTAAAACAGATCGAAAATGTGATTCTTTAGGAATGACAATAAATTTCCTGAAATAGACATTTATAAAAATAATGTAGCATCTCTAGGAATCGAACAGGAATATGAAACTTTCAGGGGAAGGAAAGAAACAGTGAACATTTATTAAACGCCACAAACTGTACAGAAACATCCAAACTCCTCCGTAGAGTCCTGACTGAGTTACTGTTAGTTTTAGAGCTCTCACTGTTTTCCAACAGTAGATCCACAGAAACAGGAATATTTTCCCCAGCATGACATCTGTCTGCCTCTGAGTCGCTCCGCTCTGTCTGCTGACATGAGACGGCGTTCACAAAGCCCTGGATGTGAGTCACTGTCTGCAGGAAGAATATTTTTGTCTGAGCAGGGGGAGTTAAAGTTAGGAATATAAAACTTGCACCGAGCGCACTCGCAGATATAGTAGGAACAAAAGAGATGATTGTGCAGAGAGTGAACTGAGGCGTGTGGTTGGTGGAGTGCTGTGGCCGAGCTGAAGCTCAGAAAACAAATGAACAACAAATCCCAACCAGCGAAAAGAAGAGATGAAAGCTGCCCACGCAGCTCCAGAGAGAATCCAGCTGTAATTGATCCTAATAACACAAAATACCAGCTGCTTGTGCTGTTATTTAACCCCGGAGCAAATTAAAATGGCATCTTCATATCTTCCTCTGTCTAACTGAGTGCTTTCAGACCCAGCTGATGTAAACAACCGTTGTGTTTGACCTCACTCTCTGTGAGACAAGCTTCTTGAGGAGATTCAGAAGGTTAACCAAACACTAATTTGCATGTTTAGACTCGTGTTCCTACTGTTTGATGCTCCAGTTGGCAACTGGCACCAATAGAAGAAGTACAACACATACGACTGTATGTGTTGTACAATGGCTGCTGGAAAAGATAAGAGTTTTGTTGACTTACCATCCAGAAACCACATACTGCATTCTTGTTGGTTGAGCAGGAGGCTCTACTAATGTTTTTCAAAGATGTTCAGTTGAATAATTGTGCATCTATTTGCAGTCATTTTCATGTGAATGTAGACGTTGACTTGGGAGCGTGGCCAGCAGAGGCTAATTTGGATTTAAAGTGACAGTGGCCCTAAAGCGGCTCATTCTGAAAGGAGCCCAAAGTAGGCAAAACTAACGCAGAATAAAATCTCATTATCTAAGAATCATTTTGTGCATAAAAAATAATGAACATGTTTTATTAAAGACCTATCCCTTCCTGTTAGAGGAAGCATTATAGGTCACCTTTAATCATTTCTACAGCTGTTGGAGCGGAAGTTTTCTTTAAACGGACTGATCCCGCATTTTTAGCCTGTTATTAGTTCAAACAGCAGGAAACACCATGAATTAGAGTCTGATTTTCCAGAACAATCAGTGTAACAGAAAGCCTTCTGTGCCTCAGTTTGCACATCTGAATGAATGCTTTCAGGACATAACGCTCTTTGTGGCAACCATGCAGGTCAGGTGACCACTGCCAGCCAATCAGAGAGCTGAGAGCAGCACAGTGTCAAACAGTGAGACTGAACTGAACATCAGATACATCAGCTGCCTGCAGCTCAGCTGAGTCTGGTAATAACTAGCTATGTTTACTTAAGTAACTTTTGAAAAAAAAAATACTTTGAGTATTTTTACTGTACTTTTTACTTTTACTTGAGTAATTTTATTATAAAGTATCTCTACTTTTACTTAAAATTTCAGGATTCGCTACCCACTGAATGAAAAACAAACATGTTTTAACCAAATATTCACCAGACCGACACAGACCTGAAGGCAGAGTTTCAGAAACAGCAGGATTTTTAAAGAGACAGAGACTCAATCTCAAGGTGTTGCATTACAAAGACAAATATAGCATTTTTTTAGAAACTGAAGTTAATGTAGTTACTTGATTGTGTTATAAAATGGCATTGTGTGCCTGGAAAATACATAAAAATACATAATACTACCCTTTAAAGTTTTATGCATTTTATATTGAAAGAAATTGATTTGGAAAAACTTTTCTTTTGTGTGATTTTGTTGCTTTGTAATTATGTTATTTCTTATTTTAGTCTTTAAAATATCCAAATTTCCACATAAATGTATAATTTGGTCTGTTTAAATATTAAATGATTGATGTTTTTGAACAGTTATTCAGTACTTGAGTCGTCTTTTTACCAAATGCCTATTTACTTTTACTCGAGACAAAAAAAATACATTGAAGTCGTGCTGCTCTCACTGTAGTACGAGTTTTAGGTACTCCACCCACTTAGTAACCACATATTTCCCTGAAAACACGCTGGATGACTCCTGTCTGTTTTCCTCTCCATCTTCCTTCCTTTAGCTTCTGATCTAACGCGCCTCACCTCATGATGTAGTCGTGCCCGTCGATGGCCGCCCCATATCCGGCGCCGCGGAGGTTTCCGGAGTTTCCCACCACGGCACAGCGCAGGCAGCGCCCCGGATCCCACGAGCCGTATGGCGACCGTCCGGGAATCACCTGAGGCAGACGGTCATGATCACATCCATCCTCAAAACATTCACAGGAAGTTAGCAACAAGGCTGGCAGGACACACACGTCCTCTCCACATCATGGCGCTTCCTAATATTACTGACATTAAGGAACAAAATAAAGATAAAATACCTGGAAGAGTCTCAGCAGCACCTGCTGGATGTTGTGGGGTTTAAACTGCGGCTGCAACATCTGCAGAAACATCCAAAGGCTTTGATTAGAGTAAATATACGGAGCTAAATTAGGGACAAAGTGCTTAGTTAAAAAAATGCTGAATCTAGACTTCTATGGAAACCAAGGCTCTTTAATGAAAGGGTATCTATGAGCTTTATTTTGAAAATTCTACATTTTACAAAGCTGTAAATACTGAACTCTGCAAAGTTTCTCACTTAATCCTTAATTTAATTGTCCCTGCACTGCAAAAACATAAAATCTTACCAAATTTTCATCCAGTTTCCAGAGTAAATATTTTATTAAAATCACACATGAATAAGTTTGTTCCTGTGATAAGTCATTAACTACTTTCAGGTGCTTTTAGAAACTCAAAAATTTCCAAGTTTCTTAAAGAAATCTCTGAGATTTATTTCAATGTTTCTGAGTTTTTTTTCTTGCAAGCTGTCGACTTATGAAGCTCAGAAATTTCCTTGTTTTTAGGAAATTGCTGAGATTATTCTCAAAGTTTCCACATTTGCAGAAAACTTTGTCCTCTTTTTTTGTTTCATCTACAATGTCCTAATAAATCATCAAATAGAAAAAACTAATTCCGGTTAAAACTGGTTCGACAATCTGCTGGATCATGGGGTTGTTAAGTTTTTCACTGTTTGTGTTTTAATTAAATGACTGGACGTGTTTTGTGTTGGTTCCACATGAAACCCTGGAGAGGAGCTGATTTTTTTCTCATCTCATTGAGGCACCTTAAGAACCTCAGGATGTAGAGGATGCACTTTCTTTGCACCTCCTCGTCTCCATGACGGTCGCTTCCTTTTCTCCCACACAGAAATCTTCATTTCATTTCACACTCTTTTGTCACCACTTCCTTTGCACCCACCATTGGCCTCGATTCTCCCAACACGGATCTCTTTCACTAAGGTTTGCATCCTCTCCGTTGGTCTCCCAGCACTCGGGTCTAATTCCTTTTCCTTAATTTCCCTCGCTTCCTCTTTGTTCCTCCTCCGCCTCCTGCTCTTCGTCGTCTCTCTGGGATGTAAACGCGCCATGCAGCTCATCAGTGACTGGTAATCTTTATTCTGCTCCCTGTTGCTTTGTTTCCCTTATCTTCCTGATTCAGTGAAAAATGTTTCAGACTTTTGGATGGCTGGAAAGCAACAGTGCAACCTATTATTTTTAGTTTTCTTTCACCGTTTCTGCATTTTAGCAAAGACTTTTGGAATAAATGAGTCAATTTAACCAAACAGTAATGAGCAGTTTGGTTAAATTGAATCCTTCAGACCTGCTGATTGTTTGTTGTTGTTTAGGGCTTCTGGATAAACTCTTGGATGAAGACAAACTGAAGTGATGAAGGGAGAAAATTTCAGCCTTAGGATTTATAGTTTGTTTATTTCAGATGAACAATTTGGGAAAAAATGGAGTAATTATAGCTGCAGTATGTAACTTTTATAAAATAAATAATTTTTTCTTTTACATATTTCCTGAAACTGTCACTAAGTCCTGACAGTATGCTGTGAAACAGATAAGCTCAGAAGAAAAAAAACATAGAGGTCCTTCCAGTGAAACAACCAATCAGAGCCAGGAGGCGGAGCTTAGTGCTGCCAATCATCCCTCTGCTTCGCTAAGGCTTCTTCCTGACAGCAGAGCCTGATGTAGTTAGCATGGCCACTGATGACGGGGGATAAACGGCTCAGTACTTGATTAAACTTTTTACCAAATACTTTCTCACTCTTACTTGAGTAATTTCTTGGACAGCTACTTTTTACTTTTACTTGAATAAAAACATGCTGAAGTATTGCTACTCTTACTTCGGTACATTTTTTGAGTCCTCTGCCCACCTCTGGTCACGACATGTTGACAGTTTTAACAAACATGTAAAAATCATATATTTTTATAGGAGTTACGTAATGCAGCTGTAACTGGAAGGCGTTTAAATCTTCAAACGTTTGTCCTCCTCCTCTGCTTTCTGTCAGGCTGCAGCAGAAGCGCAGGGCAGCAGCCAGTTAATTTTTCATTTTAGGTCTCTAACCAGTTCTCCCTCCCAGCCATCCATTAACTCCAGTTAAGTCAAAATGGATTTATTGTTCGAAGCGGTGGCGATCTGCTGTGGGTCGGGTCACTGCTGAACAGAAAAGGGCCCATAAATCCTCACCCAAAAATCTGAAGTACAAGTAGATAATTTGGGAAATGGGGTTTGATTTACAGCAGGTTACAAATAGAGATAAAAGAAAATAATTGGATTTAAGTTTGAACAGTGGCATTTGGAGAACTGCACCTGCAAAAACAAAATCTTACCAAGCAATTTTAGTTTCTACTTCCAATGTCTTTGTATACTTGAAATAAGACAAAATTAACTCAGAAGTGACTTTTTAGCTACATATCTGAGCTTCTGTTAGGTCAATAATTCCTTAATATTGATGAAAAATGACTCATTCCACTGGCAGATTATTTCACTTATAACAGGACATTTTTCCCAAGTTATAAGTGAAATAATCTGCCAGTGGAACGAGTCATTTTTCATCAGTATTAACCTAAAATAAGCTTCTATTCCTTCATGAAAAGTTACTTTTAAGTTAGTATTGTTTATAAGATGTTTGCACTAAAACTAGACACAATTAGTGAGATTTTGTGTTTACAATGTAAAAATTCAAAAATGGTTTTTGTTACAGCTTTTCCTCTGCATCTATTCATCCTAACGTTTTTTTTTATCATGTTAAACGGTTATGGAGGACCAAACCTGACATAATTACAAAAAGAAAAAAATATATATATTTCCGCTTTCCTTACTCATTTGTTTTCGAGAAATGTATGTACTTTGTTTTTCCTTTTCCTTGTTTTCCCTTTTCCTCATTCATGCAATTTTGCAAAGAAATTTACATATTTTCTTTTGCGTTTTCCTTAAACATGCTTATTTAAAAGAACAATGCATGTATAAGGAAAACGCAAAAGAAAATTTCTTGACATGCATGTATAAGAAAAAGGATGGGGGGGGGAATTCTGCCTTTATCTGTAATTATGCCAGGTTTGGTCCTCCATACACGGTTGGGATGTGCTTCTTGTCTGTTCCCATCGTTCCTCCATGTTGCCTTTTTCTCCCTCCATCCACTGGCAGGAACACAAATGGAGCATGTCGTCCTCGTCGGACGGTTGCTTGGCTCGGCAGCGAGTGAAGATGAGCAGGTGATTATGATGTACTCGTCCCTTTAAGCTGGAGTCCTGATGAAGTTTCATCCCTCATGGAGGCGGCCGCGCCGCCACGGGCCAAACGCACGAACACGAAGCGCTCAGAGGAGCTTTAAGGTGTCAGAGACGGTATTTATGCTGCAGCGGCTGATTCTAGAGTTAAGAAGTAAATTCTCACCACAAGGTTTCTGAGTTATACAGCTTTGGAAAAAATGAAAAGCCCACTGCACTGAACCTCACTGAAAACCTCCTGGTTATTCCACCAAACACTGATTTCTGAACTCGTCCTGAGTTAAAACATTAGTGGTGTTGTTTCTAAATGAATATAAGCTTGTTTTCTTTCTTTGAGTTAACAGTAAACGTACCAGCTACTAAAATAAAAAAGTAAAATAATTTATATCCAACCCAACAAGCTTTTACTGAAAAAGTTTTTTTTCTTTTTTTTTTTTTTTTTTTTTTTTTTACTCAGAATAAGCTTTTTTTTCTTGTGCTAAATAAACAGTAACATATTATTGCTATGTAGGTCAAATATTTGTTAGTGGGACAAAATATTTAGCCAGCAAACTAAATATTTTATTTATTCACCTATTAGTGTATATAGGACAAACATTACAGACTAACTAAAAGATGTTTGTAGATGTTTAGTTTGATCTGCAAACTAAACAACCAGAGAATTAATAACAGCAACAAAAATGAAATTAACAAACAACAAAAACAACATAAAAAATTATTTATTGATAAGTTTGGTGGGCTGCACAGTTGATAGAGCTGTTGCCTTGCAGCAAGAAGGTTCTGGGTTCGATTCCCGGCCCCGGTCTTTCTGCATGGAGTTTGCATGTTCTCCCTGTGCATGGTGGGTTTTCTCCAGGTACTCCGGTTTCCTCCCGCAATCCAAAAACATGACTGTCAGGTTAATTGGGTTCTCCAAATTTTTGCATTTGACAGATGCATTTAAAAGTAAGTAAACCCCTAATGTAAAAACATAAACAATCACATAAAATGTTATTTATTTCTGATTGATCCTGCAGGAAGAAAGTCCGGTTTGAGCCGCCTGAGAACTTTCTGCCTGCTGTTTGCATGTTTTCCCGGTGCAAACGTCGGGTCTCCCTGACTCCCTCCCACAGTCTGAACCACACAGTGTGACTTTTAAAAGTTAGTAATTTGTTTGTTCAGTGTGTTTATGCTACATTAAAAACCGCAGCAGAGAGCGACTGGTGAGAGCGTGACGGGGATGGAGGAAAAGCCGAGACTTGATCTGCTGAGCTCCACATAAAGAATCTGAAAGCTGTTCAGAGTTCAGAGTTCGGGAGTCCACCACCTCGCTGTATTCCAAAGGCTCGCAGGTTTTCCATGTTCTATGTTGCATGTTTAGTCTGTAATAGTTTTATGTGGGATTATGTGTGGTGCTCAGCCAGTGGCAAGCAAACAAACAAAGTGAAAGCTGTTAATCGGTGAGCTTTAGAGAAGCTGCTAAGAAGATTTTGTTATCTTTAGACAGACTCAGGCATGCCATTTCCTGTGCCTGCAGTGTCTGTGCTAGATGGTGGACAAAGTTAACGCACTTTAACTCATATCACATCCCTCACTCTGGCATTTAGTACCGTTTTAACATTTTCTTTTATCAACTGTTCTTAATGTGAGACGTTTGTTTTTTATGTGCTTGTACAGAAACAAAAATGGCTCATCTAAGATGTTCATGCAAACTTTGTGCCATTAGGGCCAAAATGTTTTAATTAAAGTTTTTTTTAATGTTTATTCAATGTTACATGACTCTGTGTTTTGTTTGTAATGATGTAAAGCACTTTGAACCGCTTTGCTGCTGAAATGTGCTATACAAATAAAATTTGATTGATTGATTGATTGATTGATTGATTGATTGATTACCTGCTAAAACTAAACTAAATATTTAGTTTCTGAACTAAATATTTAGCTCCAAGTAAATATTCAGCTTGCAAAGTATTTTGTTAGCTTGGTAACTAAATATTAACATTGGTAGCTAAATATTTAGTCACAGTCAAATATTTAGTTTGCTAACTAAATATAATACTAGTTTGTTAGCTAAATATTTAACTTGATAACTAAATATTTAACTGTAAAGCTAATTATTTAATTGAAGTTGAATATTTAGTTTGCTAACCAAATATTTTGTCCTGCTAACAAATATTTAGGTCAAAGGTAAATATTTCGCTTGATAACTAAATATTAAGTTTGGAATTCTAACATTTATAAATTAATGAACCCCATTTTTTTCTCCTATGACAATCTAAAGAACTCAAATTATTGTTGTTAATTTTTTATTTTGTAGCTTTACAAATGTAAACCCATATTAATAAAACCATCAGACTCAAAGACAAAGAAACACTGTAACAACGTCCGTGTTATAGTTTTAAATTAAACTGAAGCCGCTCCAAACCCAGAAATGCTTTTAATTCTGTTCAGCTCTCCTAACAGAGCTGAAATCTCCATTTTTCTTTGTTTGGAAAAGTGTTTTGTGGTTTTTGTAGGCGTCCACTGAACAGCGTTTACAAAATTCACAAAACATTGTTTCTATAACTGAGTAAAAACCTCAGCCCTGTTTGCAGCTCCATCACTCAGCCGTTCTTCCCAGCAGACACCCTGAGCTCCCGTCTCTCCCTGACCTCCAGATACAAGCAAACCACCGACTAAACGGTGACTCAGCGTTTTATGAGCCTCTGGTTCTTGCATCAATTAGCAGATTCTCCTTTACATCAGCTGAATTAATACACCCTGTAAAATCTAATCGGTCTTATCATCAAAAGTCTGAGATCGACTGGCAGATTATTTATTTTATAACAAAACATTTTTCCATGTTACAAGGAAAAAAAATCTGCCAATGCAACTCGTACTTTTTAATAATTATTGTCGTAAAACAAGCTCTTATTTCTTGCTGAAAAGTTACTTGTAAGTTAGTCTAGTTTTATTTCAATTGTACCAGGATATTTACACTAGAAACCAGAACAAAAATACTTGGTAAAATGTTGTTGTTGTTTTTCTGGACTTGTTTAAGAAAAAAAAAAAAAAAAGCTAAACTTTGATGGATTTTCAAACACAATTTTACCAAGTATTTTTGTCTGGACAAGTCTTATATCATACTTGAAATAAGACTAAACTAACTTAATACTGATGAAAAAGTTATTGTTCCACTGGCAGATTATTTAACTTACAACATGGGAAAAATGCATTATAAGTGAAAAAATCTGCCAGTGAAATTGGACCAAAGTTACTTGGTAAGATGCTGTGTTTTTGCGGTGTAAATTTTCAGATTTAAGTTTTAAATGGAGTAATAAATGTGGTTACTTACCACCCACCAGTAGTAGACGTCCGGCGGCAGCTGGATGTTGTCCCTGGTCCAGACCGGAGAAATATCCGGGTCGTAGTTTTCGTCAAACCAGTCCGAGACTCCGGGGTCTCCGACGCAGCTGTTGCAGGCACATGTTTTCTGCTGGGGCGTTTCGGGGGGCGACAGCCGGTGCGCGCCCACGTAGCTGGGCACCAGCTTCACCCGCCTGGACTCCTCCCATCCGGGCGGCTCCAGGTAGCCGAAGCTGACGCCGCCGCGCAGCGACACGGACAGGAACAGCGAGGTGAGGAAGACGAGCGCCAGCGATCCCAGGAGGAGCCACAGTCTGCGGGAGCATCTCACTTTGCCTGGTTTGTCCCCACCGCCGCCGGCCGCCGCCGCCCCTCCGCTCATCCAGGGGCGGAGCTCTGAGAGTCTGGGGGCCCCCCGTGGAGAGCCCCAGCTCCATGACCCCCAGCCGAAGCTTCTGTCACGGTGAAGCGTGGAGGACGGGATGCGGCCCCCCCACGGCCATGCCCCCACCCCTGGGCCTGCCACTGTAACCCGTCCGACTACCAGCTGTGGTTCTTTGGCAAGCCCCTCCTCCTGCCGCACTCCAAACTATTTTTCTTATTTTTTGTTGTTAAATCAGAAAGCAGATAATGTACCGCCTAAGGGAAGCTAGTGCCACTAAACAGACATAGAAGCCGTTTCTCGGGGACTACTGATGGATAAGATATTATATTCTCAAGTTCTTGGTTGTGCCGCCCCTTTCTGATGCCGCCTTGGGCAAGCGCCCATATCAAAATCCGCCACTGCCGACAGGCACGCGCTCACAGATGCTCCGTCTCCGCTGAATCTCAGGCAGCTGCAACCCGACTGCCTCCAAAGTCCGTCCAGACGCGGCTTTATCCTTCATCCACTCGTTTATTTCCGGTTTAAACTCGCTCGGGTTTCAGTCTTCATCCCGCGGTGCGCTGCGGTGCGGGATTACCGGCAGCGTGCGGCTGCAGGGAGAGCCGGCGGACGGATGCAGAGAGTCTGTCCGGGCCGCATGCTGCGCTCCGCTGCGCTTCGTCTCTGCACTGGAGCAAAGGAGAGCTGCTGGATCAGAGGAGAGAGGGAGGAGCAGCGGAGGGGAGGAGGGCCTTCCTCACGGATAACAAAACCAGCCTCCTCTTCTTCAACTGCTTTCTTGTTTTTTTACTCCTTACTTTGAAAAACTGATTAACAGAGTCAAGTCAAATGCAGTTTTATTAGCTACATGACAATTCACAATTCAGTTGTGATACATTTACTTAACTTTTTGGAAAAAACTACTTTTACTACGCTTTATTTTTGCTTTTATTTTTAGTAACTTTATTATGAATTATCACCACGCTTACTTGAGTGAAATATCTGGATACTTTACCCACCGAAAGTAACTTCACCGAATGAAAAAGAAGCTCGTTTAAACCAAAAAACGAGTTTTTTTATTAGACTAAAAAATAAAAAACACAAAGTACACGACTGCAGTTTTTGTTAAAGATTTATAAGGTTCAAAATATTATGTTATTTATACTAATTATTTTCCCTTTTAGCTCTAAAATAGCAGAATATTTTTGATCCGTTTGATTATGTAAATCAGTTATTTGGTAACATTTTACCATTTTTTACTCTTCAGTTATTTTTTTGACTGCTACTTTTTACTTTTACTTGAGTAAAATATCTGGACTCTGACTGGATGAAGAGCAAGTTTGTTTTAATAAAAAATTTACCAGATACAGACCTGCAGTTTATAAGTTTTATATTAAACATAAAATGTTTCTTCCACCTGATTTTGTAATTATTTATATGAATTATTGATATTTTGATTTTTACAATACCAAAATTTCCACTTGGTCTGTATGATGATGATCTTCTTTACATTAAATTATTTTTATGGGTTTCTCAGTACCTAAGCAGACTTTTTACCAGATACTTTATTTACTTTTACTTGCGTAATGTCTTGGGCGGATACTTTGTACGTTTTACTCTTATTTGGGTACAATTTTTGGGTTCTCTACACGCCTCGACACTGATATTTTTGAGTATTTTTTTTAGCTTAAATCTCCTCACATAAGATCCAAAGTAGTTCAGATTCTCTTCATCTTTGTCCCCATGGGGGGAAAAACTGGAAAGCACAGCGGTAGCAGTAGATCATGCTCACTGCAGCGGCGCCTCACAGCGACGCTTCCGACGTTTTGGTCAGGAACGAAGCAGCGAGTGAGCGAACAAATCGGTCGGATCCAAATCTCATCTTCCCTGCGGCTGGATTTGAGAGGATGATGCGAGGCGGGGTGGGGGCAGCATCTGTCCTTCAGCGGGACTCCGTGCGTCTGGTTTTATGTGTGCTAAGCTGCATTTGATGCACTAATTTAATTGTTTTCTCCAGCTGTGCCTGGTGTTCACTGAGCAGCGGTGATGTTAGAAATCTGAGTGTCCACTTTGCCTAACTCGCCTGTACAGACGCAGGTCTACCAGTAACCAGTCGCTGTTGAATCTCCAGATCCCTTCCAGTAAAGTCAGGAGATCGATTATCAGACATCCATGTGGGTGTTTGTGAATCTTTCCAGGAATGCTGAAGGTCGGCTTTTCCAGAAAACCTGTAGAGACAAAGAAAAAGCAGAATAAAAAAGCAGTTCTCCTTACTAAAGCATCATAAAAACGAGCTCAGCCGATAAAAGTGATGGGCAACTTTAGCTCTGTTTAGTCCACCGCCTGAAACCTAGAGCTCTGTTCAGTTAAAGTGAAATCTGCTGCAGTTTGAATGTGAACACTGAGCAGACCGGAAACCGCTCCAAAAACAGGAAGCAGATACAGTGCTGATCATTCTGGGTAAAAATAACCAAAACAAACGCGACAGTCTAGTGGTAGAGGGAGAAATCCCACAACCACTAAAATCTGACACTACTCCACTTTTGTTTACATTTGCTGAAGAAGGAAGTTGCGCTCTGTGTCTTTTTCAGAGGTTTTGTGTCGTTTCCTTCAGTGGTTCTTGGTACAGCGCCTCCACAGGCGTGGAGGGGAACAGCTTTTTTAAAGAGTTTGGATCGTTTGGCTCAGTGCAGCGTGAAAGCGAACCGCTCCAGCTGAAAATGTAACAAATGTTGCAATTTAGGTTCCCAATCGAATTCAGTCTACTGGACTAACAGGTGTGAAAACAAACTTAATTCATCCTAAAAGAACATAAAATCAGGATGACATGTTCTAGTGATTAGCTTTGTAATAGATGATTAGTAGATGTGTAACAAGATCCATTTTTGGGAAAATAGACCAATTTTGATCAATCTGCACCAGATTATTCTGCATGAAATACAGATTTTCTGAAGCCCATTTTGTTATCTGTGATATCATTGTGTAGAAAAACGTGTTAAAACCCTGAACCAACTATCAGGACTTTTTTATTATTATTAATAAATGACTTTACATTTATCCGAGGATTCAGTCAGAATCTCAAAAATAAGTTGAACAAAAGCGAAAAGAAGAACCCTTAAATAAACACAGATGTGCTTTTCAATCCTATTTCTACATCTTGTTTGGGAAGCAAAGTCTACGGATCTAAGATGGAGCCTTGAGGAACTCCATGATGAAGAGGAGATAGTGATATTCAGGGCTGATTCTGAGTGACAGAATTTTTTAAACCAAATTTCATGCTGCTGTGTTTAATCTCGTTTTGTTAACCTACTTAGATCCCATCTCAGTCCAACACAGCTCACATGTTTCCAGTTTGTTTTTTTTACTTTGTGCTCGCGTTTCCCCATCAGATTTTCACCGGTTCTCCTTTCTTTCTGTGCTGCTCTGCTCGTCTTTCAGAGAAGGATCTGTGTGTCTCAGTTTGATGTCTGCTGAATGCATCTAAAAAACGTCACAGTGCTGAACTGGGAATGTTGATTGACAGCGTACAGACTGAAAACACCCTTGTGGAATACCAAACAGGGACGCCGAACTTCCAAACACATTCCTGTCACTTTTAGGCTCTTCTGGCTGTTTTTCTGGAAATTCATCTGTTATTTTTTTCCAAGCGCTCGGTGGCGCGCTGCAGAAATGTGTCACAAAGGAGGCTGCTAACAAAGTTTTGTCATGTTGACATAAACTCTGGAAAACATTTTCTTGTGCTGCTGCTTGATGAGAAAACAAGTTTAACTCCATCAATATTACAAGCTGAGAGAAAATAATAATAAAAAAAGAGCGATCAGCTGGGAGAGTTTTGCAAAGCTCTTAAATCTTGTGGTAAATTCTTGCTGTAAACGGATAAACAACATAATTCCTCACTGGACCAAATCTTGGAAAAGCCTTTTTTTAATCAGAAATAATGGAGTTTAAAGACAGAAAAACTGAAACTGTCAACTCAGCAAACACTTTCCACACAATCCGAGTGGTTTATCAAATAAAATCTTTATGGTCCCTGCTCAAATGCTTGTTAACGGGAACAAAATGAATATATACGTCTTTCTCTCTCTCACTTGAAGAGAGGAAGAGGATTTAAGTTCGGTTGAATGTCATCATCTGAGTGAGAGATTCCCTTCACAGATGTGCAGAAAACAAATCTACTGCGAATGTGTGAAGCTATAAAATCCAAAGTTCACATGTGGAGGTCAAGCTGTGGGCATGAAAATACTTTAAATCAATTAATTTCTGAATATTTCAGAATCTAGAGAGAGAGAAAAAATCCATCAAAAGAGTTAATCAAACTTGAACTGATTGTATAAAAACTGTAAACTGAATCAAAATGGCAGTTCAGCTGAAGTGCAACTTTCTGTGACCTGTCTAAACTTTTAAATGTGTTTCTGTTGGGAAATTTGTTTCAAAATAAGAGCTGTTCTTTTATCCTACTGGATTCTGTGAGACAGAAAAACTGTCTTTCTGATGATATGAAACAAATCCAGCAACTAAAAGTTACGAGGCTTTATTTGTGATTAATCGGATTGAAAGTGATGAATCAATTATTGAAATAATTGATAACTAATTTGGTAATAGATTAATCGTTTAAGTATACAGACTAAAATATATAAATTTTTACATTTAACATAAAAAACCTTCTTTGTAATATGTTTCACCCAGAACTTCTCAAATTGCAGTTTTAGATTCACCTGGTTAAAATTTTGCAAAAAGAAAGAAAAAAACTCTATTGAGAATCTTTTGTTTTCCAATTATTAATCAGGTAATAAAAAAAAATAAAAAGATTGGCCAGATTTATGGATACAGTTCTTGATTGATTTTACGTAGATTTTTGCATTCTAGATGCAAGTGCCTTAAAATATACTGAAAAACTTAAGGTTAAAATAATCAAACTGCTAAATTGTATTTAAGATCTGTAATTTTCACCCTCTTGTATGCATTTAAAAGGAACTCAACAGCTTTTCCATTATTCCATATACAATGGCTTAAATGGATTAACAGACGAGATAATCTGCAGACTAATCACACCATGGAGGAGAATTCCATTAAATAATGTAATTAATGGTGAATATTCAGCATCAACAGCAATAAAAATTAAACATACAAATGTTGAAACGTCAGACCCATCAGTCCAAGAACTTTTATTTTCCATCATCCTATTTTTGTTGCATCGCCATGGCAGCCAGCAAAGCGAAGCTGGGTTGTTACAGCAACACGAACCGCAGAGTCTCCAACCTTGACCCAACTAATCAATGCTGGAAAAAAAGGAAAAGAGAAAGAGGACAGACTGCCTCCAGTCCAGACAATTTCTGTCTCATTTTTATGCTTCCAGAACAAACCCAGAAGACATTCTGCAGGTTTGAGTTACTGGATCTTTTTCTAAAGCAGCGAACCAAACACCTCACAGGAAAGCATGTGATAATCTGCAGAGCTGGCGCAGCTTTTTCAACATATTAAGGTTTAAAACATGACCTGTTTTTCCAACCCTGACTCTCCGTTTTCCAGTCGGTTTAAAGATTCTGTGTAAATGCTTTTTTAGCATTTCTCCCATTAATCATTTAGGCCAATTAATGCGAGCCTGCAGCTCTGCTCTGCCACTTTAGGTCTAATGCAAAATGCAGAGGATCCTTTATTGGACACATTACTCAGTTTAGAGAATAAAACGTTTTACAAACACAAACAGAAAAAAAATGCCTTCCAACACCTTTCTGTTTAAACTAGGCTCCAGGTTTTTGCACCGGTTAAACTGCTGCAGCATCACAAAATGCTGCAGCAGTTTACCCATATTTATTATTTATCTGGGTAAAAAGTGCTAAATAAACATGTAAACTTACTTTGAAGTCCTATTTTTAGTCCTATGTCTACTACTATAAGCGCTTGGCTATAAAAGGACAAATACTTTGTGCTGTACTTAACATTTTCTATTGTAAAAAAATTTTTTTTACCCTGATTAAAAATAAAAAGTTTGCATTTGCATCATTCTTGAACTGCAGTTGGGGGCCACACAAAATCACTCCAGGGGCCGTTTGTGGCCCCCGGACCACACTTTGGACCCCCTGGCTTGACCTGATCAGTGTTTACAGACTGAAACAGGACAACTGGCTCCAGGTTTTCCACTCCAGCTTTTTATCTCTGCAGACGGTTTTATAGAACCGAGTCTGTGTGACTTCCTGTCCAGATTTAATTACCATCTTTGATTTTTAAATTTTTTTGCCTGTTGCTGCCGGTAAGCAGCACACGTTTCCAATCTGTCATTAACCTGCCGAGATGTCCTCCATTTTCTGCTTCTGGGATGAGTGAGATCCTGAAGCAGCGGCCAGCAGCTGCTCATCAGTTTCCCAATAACCTGTCGCCATCTGCTCCTCCACCCGCCGCCTCGGTGCTCCCACCTCTTCCAGCTGTGATGCTTTGTGATGCTAAAGATAAACCTGAGCAGAGCATTTTCTTCTGCTGCTCCCAGTTTCAGCTCATACTTCCTTCCTTTCACCAGACCCACATGCTGCAGAGACTGACCGGTTAATCAGAGGAGATGTGGAGCAGCTGCGGCAGTGAGAGCAGTGGATCTGAGGGAGAGTAATAAACTGAAGTCAACATGTTCTAAAGACTAAAAGGTAGCAGGCCTGCAACCGACAGAGGATAAGATAAGATAATCAGAGGAAAAAACACAAGAAAGATTTAACAGAAAGGAATGAAGTGATATGGCAACACCCTAACAGCAATAATAACAGCAGAGTATGGCAAGACATTTCAAACCGAATAAACAAGGAAATGATCAGAAACACAAAAACCAAAGAATTATATCATCCATCCGTCCATCAAACTGACTTTCATGTTTTTTGTTCAGTCATTTTATTACAAGTTAGTCATTTTTGTTCAACATCTTTTTTTTAATTGATTGAGACTGAGCAATGCTGCTCCAAAAGCATCACTGTTTCCACTGAACTCTCAGTCCTGAACTTCTCCACATGACTCCACCTGACTCCACCCAGTTACACCTGAATCCACCTGGCTCTGCTGCTCCACCTGACTCTGCTGCTCCACCTGACTCCACCCGGTTCCACCTGATTCCACCTGGCTCTGCTGCTCCACCTGGCTCCACCTGACTCCACCTGGCTCTGCTGCTCCACCTGGCTCTGCTGCTCCACCTGCCTCCACTGCTCCACCTGGCTCCACCTGACTCCACCTGACTCCACCTGGCTCTTCT